AAAAAAAAAAAAAAAAAAAAAAAGGGAGTAGAAAAAAATCAAAAGGACGTATTCCCGTAATACGTTTTCTAAATTAAATTTAATTACAAAAACGTATTCTTGTAATACGTGTTATAATTATATTTGGAAATTAAAATAAATAGTTCCGTTTAAAAGAAAAAGAAATAAAATAAAAAATGATAATTGTAAACCGTATTTCAAAAATACGTTTTATATAACCCCTAAATTGATTTATGGTTTCAAAAATCGTATTCTGAAAATACGTTTTAAGTTTATATATATAAAAACGTATACTAAAAATACGTTTTACAATTAAATACTTCTAAAACGTATTCCGGAAATACGTTGTACAACTAAATATAAAATAATGTTATCTTCTTCTTCTCCATTCATTTGCGCGATTCTCAAACCCTTCTCCCAATCCTCAGCCTCCACAGCGCAGCGCAAGTCGTAAAATAAAAATAAAAATAAAAAAAAACTCGATCCAATCGTCACTTCTACGTGAACCGACAACAACAACACGAACCTCATTTCTGGTTAATTAATTCGAACGAGGTATATTGGCTTATCTCAACTTTTGATATTGTTTAAATTTGTTGGGAGATTGTAATTGTTATAGTATGTTTGAATGTTGTGATGTTTGAAATTGGGAATTGTTAATTGTTTATCGATTATGTGTGTATGTTGAATTGAGGATTGAATTTTTTTTTTGTAAATTATCAATTGTGTATGAGTTTGTTATTGTTGGGTTTTCGAATTTAGGGTTAGAATTAGGATTTTCGATTTATTCGAAATATAGATGAATTGTATGTTGTATGTTATTGTTGAATTATGGATATTATGGTTTTGGAAGATTAATCGATTGGGAATATTTTTTATTTTTTTGGAGTAAAAATAGATTTAAAGAATAATTGAATTTTTTGGGTGTTGTATTAGACATCATGTGTTGTTGTAATTTGGAAGAATTGAAAGTTTTTTTTGCAACAGGTATAAATGGCATATTGTGGTCCGTATTTTGTTAATTTGTATTGGCGATTTGCGAAGGAACAGTTAAGAGATTTTGTTTCATTTATGGATAGTCCGGATGGTTCATTTGTGATTACGGGGAGGATATCATATGAACAACTGGTACAGATGATTAATGAGAATTGTCGTTTTGGAGAAGGTTGGACAATTCAAGTGATTACTTTAATGTTTCGTCAACGCGATGGTTCGTGGACTGCCGGAAGACTCAATAGCTCTAGTGCTCTTCAGTGGATTTATGCATATGAAGCTATGTCCGTTGTGTATTTGCATTTATCGTTGGAAGCAATTACACCGGTCACACAATTTGAGGATTTTACTCCTTATTACGGGGGAATGGATGAGGGCACGTCGACTTCTCATCTACGTAATTTTGGAGAAGGGACAAGCTCACCAATTAGAGAAAGGGCAATGAGGACGAGGAAGAAAGTGACGAAGAGTTCGTACTCGGTGAAGATGATTTCACAGACGAGACCTCAGAAACCGAATCAGATAGATCGGTGAATGAGGAGAGTGAAGCCGAGTTCATTGAAGAAGAATTCCCCTTTCCTAGTGGTGGTCGGCACGTATACCGCGAGATGGGTGAATGGGACCCGTCCAGGATAGATGCGGACGAGTATGCTATTCCACGCTGGAATGGCGACATTGAGACCATACGTTTGGGTATAGTTTTTCAGAGCAAGAAAGAAGCCCAAATGGCTCTGATGGCTTGGAACGTCGATAGGTTGCGGGAGGTTCGGATAAATGATTTGAATCAAAAGTCATACAAAGTGGTCTGCAGATCTAGTGAAGATCCGCCTTGTCTGTGGAAGGCTCGGGTGACTAAGTCCAAACGGGTTCATGAATTGTGGGAACTAACGGAATGGACTGATAGTCACACTTGTATGCAACCGGTCGAGAGAAATGACCACAGAAATGTAACCGCCCAAATGATTTCAAATCTCATTCGTAATAAGATTCGAAAGAAATTGGAGTACGGTGTCGACATGATCCAGGCTGATGTGAAACAGTGTTGGAAAGTGGATGTCAGCTACAAGAAGACATGGCACGGAAGGAGAAAAACCATCGAGAGTGTGTATGGCACTTGGGAATCGAACTTCGCAGAACTCCCTCAGTAAGCAAAAATTAATAACAAATATAGTATATTTATTTAATGTTTGTCGCTATGTTTATCTATTTAATATGAAATTGTTTTGTAATGTGTAGGTATTTTGCCGCGCTTCAAAGGACGAATCCCTCCACAGTTGTAGAGTGGGAATGGCAGGGTGGGGAAATGGCTCGACACCTTCGAGACAGACAATTTAAATTTATATTTTGGGCGTTTGGTCCCGCCATTCAAACTTTACGAAGGTGCCCGCCGGTTATTAGCGTCGATGGCACACATTTGCGTGGATCCTACAAGGGAAAATTGCTTGTGGCCGTTGCACAGACTGCGAATAAGCGGTTATTGCCGGTCGCGTATGCGCTTGTCGATGAAGAAAGCAAGGACAGTTGGTCATTTTTCCTTAGGAATCTGCAGCAACATGTAGTCTTCCAGAGACGTATCTGCATTCTTTCTGACAGGAATGCGGGCCTACTCAGTGCCATCGAATCATTACCAGATTGGCAAGAACCCGCTGCGTATCACCGAATTTGCCTTCGACACCTCCGAAGCAACGTGGTTACTAATTTCAGGAGTAAGAAAATTCGGACTTGGTGTTGGGAATTGGGTTCGCAGTTGTCGGAGCGAAAGTTTCGAGAGACAGAACAACGACTGTTGGCATTGAATCCCGAGGCACACAATTTCCTTTTTCGAATTCCTTTGGAGAAGTGGACCCAGTTAAAAGATAAAGGAGGACGCAGATGGGGCACATTGACCACGAACATGTCGGAGAGTTACAACAACGTGCTGAAAGGGGTTAGGTTCCTGCCGTGCAGAGCTTTGGTAGATGCCACATTGCATAAAACTCTGGATTTGTTTCAACAGGAACAAAACAAGTCCACGAGATGCAGGACTCCCATTGCTACAGAGCACTATAACGCATATTTGCAATTGGAGCAGACAGGCGCCACTCATAATGTCCATGTTATGGACGCGGACAGCTCCATGTACGGAGTGGAAACCGGTTTACGGGCGAGTGGAAGAGGGCAAAACATGTAAGTATATTTTTTTTTTACTTTGTTGTTTGTCCATTAAATTTAAATTTTTTCATATTGTATATGTATAAATCACTGGGGAATTATTACAGGTATAAGGTAGATTACAACCGAAAACGTTGTAGTTGTCGGAAGTGGCAGACGCATCGGAAACCATGCTCTCATGCATTAGCCGTCTGTCGTTCAGTTGAGACCGACCCAAAACTGTTGTACAGTGAGTATTTTTGGACCGAGAACTGGGTAGCTCAATTTCGTGATTGGAGTTTTGCTCCGATTGGTAATCCGGATACATGGGCGCCGGTCGAGTGGAAATTGATACCACACTGGGAGAGGATGATCTTGAAGCCTGGACCCGGTCGCGTGCAAACGAGACGATATCGCATGCAAATGGATCGTCGGTCACGCCGCAGGAGGGATAGGGGACAGTGCACTAGATGCGGTGATCCAAATCATGTTGTGGATGAGTGTCCGTCTTCACATCCTCGCACCGACAGGTCGAGACTTCGTGATGAGTGAGGAAATTAGATTTGTTAGTGTTCATTCGAATTTGTTTGGAGAGTTCATTTGGATTTGGTTGGATTATTATAATTTGTTTGGATGGTATTTACTGTAATTTTAGTTTTCATGGTATTTTGGTTTAGATTGTGTATTTTTGATTTGTTTCGTCCAGGTTTTTCGGGTGTTACAATAGAAAAAACTTGTATTTTTTTTTCATCCCGAGTACAAAACGTATTTTCATAATACGTTTTATAAAAGTATTATTTATAACACGTATTCTCGGAATACGTTTTTCATTTGGCATTATTTGTAAGCCGTACTCTCAAAATACGTTTTATGTTTATATCCTAAATATAAAACGTATTTCTGAAATACGTTTTATAAATGTTAAAAAAATGGAACGAGGTTCCCAGATTCGGGACTCGAACCCGGGTTCGGGT